TTTCTCTTTTCAAGCAAAATAATACAAATGTAAAGAGCTCTGAGAAATCTGGGGGGAAGTTTCTTACTGGGAGACACTTATCTACCCCAGAGGGACTGCTGGGGACTTCCCCCAAAGACGTGGTTCATGGAGACAGAGAGGAAGGAGGCCACAGGTTTCCCAAGGATTCTCAGGAGTTGGCCCCAGCAAGCAGTTTCCCTCATTTTCCAAACCTTTCAGGAATCTCCCAGACTTACATTCTCCCAGAGATGTTTGAAACTGGGGCTTTGTAACATTGTTATGTCCTGGCATTTGCAGGGTTTGTCAACACCAGTCTCATCAGCCTTTTCTCCTATCAGTTCTGGTAGGTGGGTCCATGGTTTATTAACCCTGTTTCACAGCTGAAGAACAGCCAGGAAGCAGCTCACCCAGGGTCAGCGAGAGCAGGAAGTTAAAAAATAATAAAACAGAGTTCTCAATCTAGCTGGGGCCCTTTCTGCATCTGACCGCCATGCATCGAGACCATCCAAAATGACTCAACACCTCCCCAGACCCATTAACTTTCAACCAAGAATCCACAGGAAAAACTTGCAGCCCCCCTACTGGACTCTGAATGCAACAAATGACAAAATGAAACTAATCAACTAATTGGAGCTTGCAAGTCTCTGTGCATGCCTGTTGCTATGCCCTGAGTCACTCTCCCTAAGATGTAAAGGGTAGAGCCAAGCTACTGAATGAGGAACTTGCCCTGCTCTGCATTTGAATATTTTAATTTCAAAGGAAATTTGTTCTTTACTAAGTGCACAAGGAGATAACAAGGGCATTGCCTGAGAGAGGCTGCTAGTCAGAGTCCCACAGGGCACCTGAGCCTGGTGTCATCATACTGGGGAGAGTAGAGGCTTCACCCCCAGCTCAGGCTCTCAGCTGTTCCGTGGTGCCAGATGCGACAGAGGCTGGTGTCTCCTAATCAGTAGACAGGACTATAAATCCTAATGGCAAATTCTTAAGTAACAGAAAGAAATAGAGCTGTTAAGCAGATCTACTCTTTTGCACTCCATTGACGAGCATGCAGAGAAAATGAACTTGGCGTCCGAAGAGTCCTTGATGAGCCAGTTTGCTGGGAAGCGTAGAAGTCTGGCTCTACCCCTACTAGCCCAGTGACTTGAATGCCCGGGTGTAGACTTTATCTCTCTGTCTCTCTCTGTTTACACGGCTCCAATATTAAAATACTGAAAAAGTACATGATGAGGGGTGCCTGGGTGGCTCAGTGGGTTAAGGCTCTGCCTTTGGTTCAGGTCATGATCTTGGGGTCCTAGGATCAAGCCCCGCATTGGGCTCTCTGCTCAGCGGGAAACCAACCTGCTTCCCCCTCTTTCTCTGCCTGCTGCTCTGCCTGCTTGTGATCTCTCTCTCTCTGTTCAAATAAATAAAATCTTAAAAAAAAAAGTACATGATGAAACAAAATCTTTGTCATCCATCCTGTCATCCCACTGTTCAGTTCCGATGATGGCCCACCCCCAGGGGGGCTACCTCATATTGTTTCATGTCTCTATCTAGCACCTTTATGAATCTAGAAGCTAAGAAAAATATAGATCTTTAGGTGGGGAGGGGGCAAGTTTCTTAATTTTTCAAGTCTTGACATCTTCATTGCTCATTAGTCATTGGCCATTCTTATGTGTACTGATAATGATTTTGGTAAATCTTCCCAGAGCTCTGTACACCCTCAGGATATGGTCTGTGCTCTCTGTTGTGGCTCCTAGGACTCTCAGGTTTGCCCCCTGAGGACCAGCTTCATCTTTGGTTCCCACATCCTCTCCTATCAGCTCCACTGCTGCTTTCAGTCCCTTGAAGATGCAATGTTCTCTAGGCCTTTGAACATGCTAGGAACATGCTTGGAACATGCTCGTCTTCCTTCAGCGCAGTTCTCCCCCTGCCACCCCATTCCCAGGCTCATCACCAGCTCATCTTTTAGGCCTTGGCTTAAGATCGCTGCTGGTGCCTGTCTCCTTCCACCAGCACCAGAATCTTTCACTCTCATGGCACTTCCTCATTCACTCATTCATTCACATGAGGGGCTAACCACATGCCAGGCACGGGGCTAGGCATATCTGTCACCCTGTACTGTCACTGCTTACTTCAGTATTTTGTATGACATTGCACTGTCATTCACATACCATCAAATTCACCCTTTTAAATGTGTAATCAAGCAGAGTTTAGTATATTCACAAGATTGTGCAAACATCACCACTATTCTTTAAAAAAAAAGATTTTATTTTTTTGAGAGAGAGAGAGCACGAGCAGCGGGTGGGGCAGAGGGAGAGGGAGAGGGAGAGGGAGAGGCAGACTCCCCACTGAGCGGGGAGCCCAGCAATGCGGGGCTCAATCCCAAGACCCCCGGACCACAACCCAAGCCAAAGGCAGATGCTCAACTGACTGAGCCACCCAGGAGCCCCTCTTTTTTTTTTTTTTTTTTTAAGTAGACTCCATACCCAATATGGAGCCCAATGCAGGGCTTGAACTCAGAACCCTGAGGTCAAGACCTGAGCTGAGATCAAGAGTCAGACACTTAACTGACTGAGCCACCCAGGTGCCCCAAACATCACCATTATTTAATACAGAACATTTTCATTACCCTAAAAGGAAACTAACACTTTAGCAGTCATTCTCTATTCTTGCCAGTCCTTCGGCTCCAACAACCAGTAACCTTTCTGTCCTAATGGATTTGTCTATTCTGGAAATTTCATATAAATGAAATTACACAATATATGGTCTTTTGTGATTAGCTTCTTTTACTTGGTGTAATGTTTTCAAGGTTCATCCATGTTGTTACACATATCAGTACTTTATTTCTTTTTGTGGCTGAATAATAGTCCACGGTATAGGCACAACACATTGGCTTTATCCATTCATAAATGGATACACAGTTGGGTTGCTTCCACTTTTTAGCTATTTTGAATAATGCCATTACGAGCATTCACATACATGTTTATCTGTGCATATAGGTTTACATTTCTCTTGGAAATAGACATAGGAGTGGAATTGCTGGGTCATATGATAACTGTTTAAACTTTTTGAGGAATCACCAGACTGTTTTCCAAAGCAGCTCTACTATTTTCCATTCCCACCAGCAAGGTATGAGCGTCCCAAAGTCTGCACATCTCACCAACATTTGTATTTATCACCTTTGATTATAACCATTTTAGTGGGTGTTAAATGGTTCTTCTGAAACTTTGTGAGAACCCAGACTCCATCTGTCTTGCTCGCCACCAAATCCCAGAACCTAGTGCTGTGCCTGGCACTTACTAGACATTCATATTTTGTTCTATGTGCTAAAAAAAAAAAAAAAGTGTTGAATGGATAGGTAAATCAAAAGTTACTTAGATGGTTACAATAATGCTTACTGATTGTGGATTCTTCTCCCCAGTAGAGGTCTGTCAAGGGATCCAGTATCCTTTCTCCTGCACAGAACTGTACCACCCCTTTTCTGTTACCATACTTTTTCTTCAGGGAGAAAGGAGGGTTAAATGTAAGCTTTCTTATTTTCCTTCAGACCACTCATTTGGATCTTAGGTGTGCACAGATTCCTTATTTAGCCACTTAACAGATAATTTCTTGGGTATTGGAACATTTTGTTTTTTTCTATGTTGATTTCTTAAGCAGAATTTCTGCTCACCTCTAAGCACTCCATGCTTGCAAATAAATATCCTTCCTCCTGTTTCTTTCCAAGCTGCTCACCCTGGGACAGTCAATACCTGTGACAGACCAGCTCTGCTTTTGGGGGGATGGGTTCTTTTAATATCTCTCTACCCCCTGTTTTGGCTCCTTGATGTGGAAGTATCTGAGGGACGTTTAGAGCAAGGAAGGTGGACTAGGGACTGGGTGATGCTCATAGCCAGCACCCAGCACTTGAAAAATGGTTCTTGAATGAATGGATGGATGGATGGATGGATGCATGTGAATATGTGAGAGAGACATATTGCAAAATGCAGACTCGGTGGACAAATACTTATTGAGTACCCACTGTGCATCCCACTACGGTGCATGTTGGAATAAAAGGTAACAAAACCGGTGACTCGCCTTGGACTAGGAAGTTTCTAAAATTACTAGTCCTGGCTGTGTCCCTTTCTTCTCACTTTCTATGTCACACCTAATCATCTTCAGGACCGCATTTTAGATAAGGAATCAGTCCACTGCTTAAGCCTCAAGTAGGAAGTTCCGATCTACTCTCAGCAAAATCCGGAGTCACAAGTGCCCCAGTGCCAAACAGCTAAAAATTCCCCAAATGCTAGGCTTCCCGATCTGATCTTAGGGGTTCCTGGTTGGGAAACCTCCGCAAAAATGGACAGCACGTCCACCAGAGGGTGCTGTGGGGGCAAATTCGTGCCGGGAGGGAGGCTTGACCAGTGACCCTCAGAGCCAGGTAGGCGTCTCGAGTAATTTTCATTCTTCCTGGCTTTTCCTTCCCAGCCCCTTGAACCGTCGCCGCCCCTCCTCCCATAGGTGGTTCCCCCTCAATAATTAGCCATTTTCAGGACCTCTAAAGAGCGCTTGCTTTGAAAAGACGCCTGGTTTCTGTTCCTGACGCCCCGTGGCTCGGGCCACTCGGGTCACAGGCCGGTCGCGCTGGGTGGGTGGGTGGGGACCTCCTGGGCGTCAGCGGCCGGGCGCCGCAGGGGCCGCGAAGGGGTTAACCCGGCGGGGGGGAGGGGAGGGGGCGCGGGCCGCGCCTGCGCTCTGCCGCCCTCCATTGTCTCCACGGCGGCGAGGAGCGCCGGCGAGCGCAGCCCGGGACCGAGCGGGGCGGAGCGGCTGGCGGGGCCGGCGGCGGCAGGAGCGAGAGCGCGACGCGACGCGACCGCAGCTTCCCGAGCTCCGCCTGGCCGTCCAGCGCCGCAGCCCGCCCGAGGCCTGGAGGGGTCCGGGCCGGCGTCCATGGTCGCGGCGTCCTGAGGCGGGGGACGCGCCCGGTGCCCCCAGCCCTCCTCCGCCTCCTCCTGTCCGGCGGGCGGCCTCCTCCGCCGCCTCCCTGCGCCCGCCCGCCGCCTCCCTCCCTCCTTCCCTGCGGCTCCCCCGGCTTTCGGGAGCCCGGGGGCGGCCTGTGGCGCGCCGAGCCCGCGCCGGACTGCGCTTCTTTGGACCTTGAGGGGAAACATGCGTTTGGCTTGGATCGTTTTAAATTCTTAGTTTGGGATCCCCGCCCGCCTGCCTCTTCCGCCCCGCGGGTTTTCTTTTCTTTTTTCTTTTTCTTTTTTTTCCTTTTTTTCCTCCCGGTCTCCTTTTTGACTCCCTCCCCCTTTATGCTCGCCCAACCCTCCCCCCGCTGCTGAGAAGTGGGGGAGGGTCTCGGCCTCCAGGTTCCCGCCCCACCGGGGCCCGGGCGAGCATGGGGGGCAAGCAGAGCACGGCGGCCCGCTCCCGGGGCCCCTTTCCGGGGGTCTCCACCGATGACAGCGCCGTGCCCCCGCCGGGAGGAGCGCCCCACTTTGGGCACTACCGGGCGGGCGGCGGGGCCATGGGGCTGCGCAGCCGCTCAGTCAGCTCGGTGGCGGGCATGGGCATGGACCCCAGCACGGCCGGGGGGGTGCCCTTTGGCCTCTACACCCCCGCCTCCCGGGGGACCGGCGACTCGGAGAGGGCGCCCGGCGGCGGAGGGTCTGCGTCCGACTCCACCTATGCCCATGGCAATGGTTACCAGGAGACCGGCGGCGGTCACCATAGAGACGGGATGCTGTACCTGGGCTCCCGAGCCTCGCTGGCGGATGCTCTACCTCTGCACATCGCACCCAGGTGGTTCAGCTCGCACAGTGGTGAGTCCGCGGGCGGTGGAGGCCTGGGAGGGTGGAGTGCAAGGGAGGGCGCGCCGGGGCGCCCCAAACCTTCGCGCGCGCTTGCGAAGATTTGGATGTGGAGTGCGCGACCTGGATCTGTCCGCCTTTCCTTTGGTTCCTGGGGATGAATGGGCTATCTACCCTTTAGAAAAGAGGCTTCCTGCGAGGCTGCGGAACCGGGCGTTTTAGGACTTCAGGCGTTGGTTCACTTGTGGATGAGCAGAGTGAAACCTGCCCATTGAAGTCCCATGTATCGGCATCACCGTCCTCAGAGAGAAGATCTTGTCTGGCTTATAGCAAGTCGGCCTCGATGCTTCCTTTCTGTCACTGCAGCATTGTGCCTACCTCCCCGTTAACAGGGAGAGGGATCCGGTTTGACCAAGCGGTGTCTCCCAAACAAAGAGTGTGAAAAGAAGGAAAATTGGGGGCAAGTGTTGTTTGGATTAGAGCTCCCACTCTTGCTGAGAGAAGGGGGTGCCCAATTTTGCCACCCTGCTGGAGAGCTGTCTGAATTGTTTAAAATGGAGCAGCCGGAAGGCTGCTGCCATAGACAGGTGTGGCCTGCCGAATGGAGGGCCTAGCCAGGGAGCCTCCCTCTGAGGCTTTGCAGGACCAGGGCTCTGGTGGCGGGTGCTGCATGCATGCAGTAGGCTTGGCTGGGTGACTCTCACATCCCTCCATCTTTTTTCTTCCCCTCCATGCCAAGTGCTAGGTCTTCCTGGTAATTTCTACCTTTTTGTCATGGGAGGTGGGACTTCATTGCCTGGATGTTGGTGGTGCGTTACCGGGGGAAGAGAGGGATTCAAAAAATCTGGGTGAATTCATTTTGTGAACTTCTGGTGACAGGCCAGCAAAAAAGCTGGAGGAGGATTTCCCAGGCCCTGACTGGCAGGGCGGAAAAGGCACTGGCAAGAACTTCTGGAGGAAAACAGGTCTGTCTGCTCAGCTAACCTGAGAAGCCAGGTTAGGCTGCTAGAAAATTGGTCAGAAGGGGTGTGGGGCCGCTATTTGCTAATTGACAGGTCAGTGTGAAGAAGTTAACATTTTCAGACTCTTTGGGAGAGTTAAGCAAATCTAGATATTGTGTAGAAAGAAGGGAGATTGCCTTATGGAGAGTGTATCTATTGGAACACTGTTCTAGCTATTGTGAAATAGGGTAGACTTTTAAAATCTTTCTTATTTTTGGAAATAGTGTTGCTTTTGTTTCGATTCTATGAACTTTAATTTGTGAAATAATTTTTGAAGGGGAATTAGTGACTAATTTAGAGTAACATTGGAAAGTGGCTTTTGAATTGCTAAAATGGTATTTTAATTTTTTTAAAAGATTTTATTTATTTATTTGACACAGAAAGAAATCACAAGTAGGCAGAGAGGCAGGCAAAGGGAGGGGAAAGCAGGCTCCCCACTGAGCAGAGAGCCCAAGTCGGGGCTCGATCCCAAGATCCTGAGATCATGACCTGAGCCGAAGGCAGAGGCTTAACCCACTGAGCGCCCCAGTATTTTAATTCTTGAACGGACCTCTAAATACCATCCGAGCTTCCTTGATCTACATTAATCTCTGTCCTGAATAAGATGCAAGGTGTGACTGCTTTGGGCACTTTTAGACATTTGATCATTTTTAGACATCTTGAAATTAAAATTTTTTCTTATGAAATTAGATCCAGAAAAAGGAAGCTCTATTTGTGAGATGACTGTGATTAACTTTTTTAAAAGAACTGTCATTAGTATCCGATTTTAAACTGAAAAGCAGTGCATGACGGTTCTCTAAAATCACAGAATTTTGTGTTTTGCAAAACACATGTAATCTTATGGTTGCTTATCTGGGGAAGGAGTGTCCGTTTTGAAAATTTCTTAACTGTTTCTTACTAGAGAGTTCTTTTTCCTTATTCCACCTGGTACCAGGTTCCATGATGGAGTTATGAGCTTACAGTTGGATTCCAAAATTTCAGACTCCTCAGCTGCGAAACCTGAGTTTAATTTTTTTCATCTAGCTGTGTGAGGGTAGGAAGAGCCACAGAACCATGAGAATACAGGAAAAGCTGGGGCATAGTAATCCTTCTGGGATCAATATGAAAGTGTGTATGAGGCAGCTCCTAATATTTTGGGTAATACATTCGTTTTCCAAATTTTGTGTATATATATACATACACACTTTTTTAAAGTAATCTTTATACCCAGTGTGGGGCTTCAACTCACGACCCCAAGATCAAGGCTCATGCTGTACTGACTGAGCTAGACAGGCCCCCTGGGTAATACATTTTTTTATAGGACTGTCCTTTCCTAACATTTTGAGCACACCTGGCCCTGCCCACTACATGCCTCCACAAAATTTCCAAATGCTCTTGGTACAGGAGCGGGACACCATCCTGACTGACAACCACTTGTTTAGGGATTCATTCTTTTATTCAAATAAAATAATTAGTTTTTCCTTTGCAGTTCATTTACCATGAACCTTCATATTTCCAGTCTTCTGCACTGGTAGTTCTGTCTCACTTTCCGGAACAGGCCACAGGACCTCCCTTCCAGGACATCCCTTTCCTCTCTTGTTTATTACTGTAAGAAGAGAAACTTGTTTCTATTTTGGAGCCTTTGAGTAAGGCCAAGCAGTTTTTGCTCCTGTGTCGTAAGAGTGAAGGATAAGACTTCGGTGCACAATTGACTAGATGCCTAGAAGTTGATGGGATGTTGTTGCTTGTGTTTTTAAGGCGCTTTTGGAAATCTTCACGGGCACCGACAACAGTTGTCAGTGAAGTAAGCGGGGGAGTTCAGGGCACTCGAAGCTTCCTCGGAGGGAGGGAGCTGATGTTGTGTCTGGAGGTAAAATACTAGGGTCTCTGGCCCTCCTCAGAGTAGCTGTGACCTTGGGGAAGACACATCACCTCTCTTGAGCCTTGTCTTTGTTATTTTTAAAATAGACGTGTTAGTCTTTGGCAGCCAGCCTGGAAAGGTTATTCCCCAGGTCCCATGAGGATACGTAGCCGTCACATTTGTCTTCTCTCCGTTCCTACGCTTCCCCAGGTTGTGAACCTTGCACGCCCTGGTCCCTATAATTGGAATGCTTTCCCTTCCATTCTGTTTTTGGGTAGTTCTTTCTGATCCCTCATGACTCAGACTTAAATTCCTCCTTAGAGACCGCTCTTAAAATTTGCCTCCCTCCTCTGAATCTTTCCAGCCACTCACCTGTTACCTTAACAGCACTTCACACACTTTATAAGTATTTTATTTTCTCTGTTTGCCTTTTCTATTTAGTTTGGCTGATTTTTAAGCTCCATGAGAATAGGATTGGGCCTCTTGCTCACTACTGTATCGTCTGCACTGTGCGTGCCTGGCACAAGTATTTATCGAGGGAATGAATCTGAGTGCCTCCTGTCCATCATCTCATTTAATCAACCCTATAACTGTGAGGTAGGCGGTTTCGTCCCCATTTTACAGGAGAGGAAGCAGAGATGTAGGGCAAGGTCAGATAGTGAAGACGTGGCAGAGCTGGGGTTGGAATATAGGTCTGCTGGTGTCAGAACCTGGGCTCCTAACCATTACACTGCACTGCCTCCCATCCCAGAACACCAGGAAGCTGGCTAGTGTCCTGGAAATCGTGTTGGCCGGCGAGCCAGAGCGCTAGGCTCATCTGCTGGTTGGGCTATCAAATAACCACCTGACTTGTGACCTTGGGCACGTGACTCATTTAACCTCAGAGGCGCTGTTTTCTCACCTGGAACATGGACGTAATGCCTGTCCTGCTTACCTCTCAGAGTCGTCGGCGGGGGGGGTCTCATGAGCTAGTATTTACAAAAGCCAAATAGCAGATGTAAGCAAAGGGGGGTTCCTGTAGGGGCACTTCTACAGTTCTCTGCCTTCTTTCCTCTGAGCAGAAGGTGCTAGGCAGGGAGATTGAGAACTGTGTGAACTTTTCCCCAAAATGGAAGCTACTGCTCTCTGCTGAAACCTGACCTACATTGGCGAGCCGTTGATAATAACGAACGCTGTGGAGAAGAGCTGTTTTAGAAGAAGAGAGTTAGTGTCCTTTCCTTTCCACTTTAAAGTGTCAATTTTGCTATAAGGTGTTTAACCTCCAGATGGTCTTCTGGGTGATGTTCTGGAGATCTGGTTCTCAGAACATGGATTTCTGGGGCGTCTGGGTGGCTCAGTTGATTAAGTGTCTGCCTTCGGCTCAGGTCCTGGGATCAAAAAATCTAAACTGTTCTTTGTTGTCACCAAGTCATCCGCGGGGCTGATAGAAGGTAGCTTTTGCTAAGTCTTGGACCAAGCTAGCAGGACATCTCCTGGATTCGATTTGCTGCCATTCTAGGGTTCTCAAGTGATTTAACTGTCTCCTCTTAAATAATTTAAACAGAGTTGCCAACTCCTTTGGAGGGGATCAGAAAGCCTCTTTGTGCCTCACCATAGGTGTGCTAGAGGTAATGGTCCTTTACATGGCTTCTGGGGAAGGAAAAGTGTTCTGTGGTCTTCAGAGAGCAAGATGGGTCTCCTACGCTGCAAAAGTTCTATTCTTAATGAAAATCTTTCTGTATAGCGGAGTTTATAGTTCTCTGTTACTATGAGGGCTTACTTTCTACAAAATAAAAATTTAAAAAGTTCCCTTGAGAAGCTGATAATTCCTTGAAGGTCACAGTTCACTCTTCCTCATTGGGGTTTGAAAGGTGTTGCAAGAAATAGTGGCTTGGCTCTTAAAGTGTTTGTTTTATGGGATGTGTGCATTTAGCTACTAAATAAAGACACACCCCAAATATGTCATAAGGAGTACTCTGAGCCAGGCCATTCTGCACCAAGGAAATGCAATTCTAATTCCTTTTGAGAAAAGAAACCTGCTTTGTATTGTATCAGTGTGATACTCAACACAAACTTCTAGGGCACTCACATTTTAGTAAATCTGATTATAAAACTAAACATCAATTTCAACAGTTCCAAAATTAGAAAAAACTTCATAGAGAAGTCGTAACATAGACAGACTAGTCTTGCTC